TGTGTGTGTGTGTGACCGGGGGATAGACTGATCGAGGAAGAGAAGGCGGAGACGGGGAAGGTATAAACACTTGTGTGTGTGTGTGTGTGTGTGTGTATCTGTGTGTCTGTCTGCTTGCTCCTTCTTTCCTATCAAACATCTATCGTCCTTTTCTCCGCTCCTTTTTTTGTTGTGTTTGTTACTTGTTACTCACTTGTAACACCTCTAATCTTTGGCACTTTTATGACCTTATTGTGCCGTAAAACTCTTACTAAAATGAAACAAAATCAGCTGGCCACTCCCTAAACGATGTAAATAGTGGGAATAACGGCGTAATTATATCTACGATCATTATATGTGTCATGACACGGTGGGATCAGGCGCTCGTCAATTTTTGGACATATGGGGTTTTGGTGTCATCTTAAAGACTGTTCATTGGCCTTCCTTTTGGTGAAAAAAGTATTCACTGCGGTAGGTTGAATACAAGTCGAAATATTTGCGATTGAAGGAGGTCAGGGTCATCTGGTTTCAGAGGTAAAATTAGCTATAAAATGGCTGCCATAGTATGGTAACCTTCATAGTCTGAGAGTCTTTGGAAACTGAAAAATCTACATTTTTGTGCCTTTAATCACCGTTTTTTCCAGTAAAACCCACCCAGAAATGTGTTTTTGAATGGACTAAATGGTGTTGAGCCAAAAACAAGAAAATTAGAAAAACACCACTGGCCGTTTTCTTGGTTTTCATTATTTTGACGAGTGCCTGATTTCACCACGCTGTCTCTCAGATATTCTGAGTTCCCTGACTTTGTTCACAGGTGAAGTTTGCAGTATTTATGGACTACTTCCGAGCGATCGGTCTCCTGGCCACTTGTTCCTTCCTGGCGTTCTTCGCGGGCTACCAAGCGGCCAGCGTCTACTCGAGTATCTGGCTGTCTGATTGGACGGCTGATCCCGTTCTGAATAACCTGAGTCTGTCCAACACAAGCCAATACCAGGACAAGAACGATATGTACCTAGGGGTCTATGGAGGACTGGGGATTGTTCAAGGTGTGTGTGTGTGTGTGTGTGTGTGTGTGTGTGTGTGTGTGTGTGTCTGTCTGTCTGTCAGTCTGTCAACACAAGCCAATACCAGGACAAGAACGATATGTACCAAGGGGTCTATGGAGGACTGGGGGTTGTTCAAGGTGTGTGTGTGTGTGTGTGTGTGTGTGTGTGAGTCTGTCAACACAAGCCAATACCAGGACAAGAATGATATGTACCTAGGGGTCTATGGAGGACTGGGGGTTGTTCAAGGTGTGTGTGTGTGTGTGTGTCTGTGTGTGTGAGTGTGTGTTTGTGTCCATGTGTCTGTGTGTGTGTGTGTGTGTGTGTGTCTGTCTGTCTGTCTGTCTGTCTATTATTATTAAAATGTCCTCATTTCTTCCTCTCATATTATTATTATTATTATTACTACTACTACCACCACCACCACCACCACCACCACCACACCACCAAAAAAGGTACTTAAGTACAAATTTAAGTACATTCTAAAATATGTACTTAAGTACAGTAAAAGTACTTTCCTGTAAAATGTACT